AACTTGAAGTTCTGGATTCAGAACATGTCATAAATATTCATGCGACTATAAACTTATCCACAGACCACAAAGGTAACACAAAATGTGTTAAAGTTAAATGTTTTCAAATATTGAAACAAAGTGTGTGTTTTCTCTAGTGATATTCCAGTTCTAAGTCTTGTTGACTTGTTGTTTACCAATCTTTTAACATTAAATATGAACTTTTAACATTAAATATAAACTTAACAAGGAAGTTGTTCAAGACCTTCATACATTTCTTTAAAAGTCCTCATATATCTGATTTGATATACTGGAGATGCTATATTTCTAAAAATTTACCTGCATAAATAACCCGAATCAAGAGCAAAAACATTATCCATCCAATAAGTTGTCCGAAAACAAACAGAAACTCTTACACAATCAACAAAAAGCACACAGTATGATACACACTTTCCGAGATAATTACTACTAGTTGAGTGACCATCACAACAATCAACTCGTAAATCAGCTTTCTAGAGAAAATCTCATCTAATGCATTATGTATTGGTTAAGTCTAAATTTATGTAAACAAAAGAAACTCATTTTTACTATCAAGACAACAAGTTGTTGAGCTAAATGGACAAATAAAACTCACTAAAACTCCCCTTTCATAACACCAATCGCCTTTCGTCTTCCAGATTAGATGATCAAAATGCATTTGAGGGAGGGTAGAGATCCTTACACAGATCAACTGAATAAAGATCACAATCAGCACTTCTCCTTGCTATCGTCCTCGAAAGTGGACTTGACTTCCTATGGACATGTAAGTTATCAGTTGAATTCCTCTGCATACTGTGAGACAAGTAATTTGAATTCCTCTGCTTAACCTTCGCCTTAATAGACTTTGTGAGATTCATGTAGTTTGGTTTCTTGCTATGACCCTCTTCCGGAGGTGTCTGATTCGATCCAAGAGTTTCAGAAGTCGATATGGAAGAATGAGAAGTCGTACTATCATCATATTGATAATAATCAGTATAAGGCTCAGAAGATGAATTAGCAATTTGACAACTCATTGGTCCTCTTGTAGATATCCTGGTAGACATGTTATTCCGCCTAATGTTCACTGAACTACGGTCAGTGAAAGATCCAGCATCATAATCTTCATACTTCCTAGAACTCGGAGTCATCCCTGATGCATCAGTATGGAAATCTTCCACCAGTCTGTTTTCCCAAGGCTTACTCGCCATCCAACGTTCTAACCAAACTGAATCCCCATTAGCCTTGAACTTATTCGGTGTTTCAACTTTCCTTGTTCTTGAATTCGGGCTGGGGTTTGTTCTCAGTTTCTGAAATAGATCAGTTAAATGTGTTTTCAGGCCAGTTAGTTACATGTATAAAGAAATTTTGTGTCATATTACATGTTTAAGGAGTTAACCAAGATACCTGTTGGGCATATGCAATGGCCCTCTCCCTCTTAATTGCTCCAACTTGTCTCATTTTTAACTTACACCTCACTTCATCCACTGTGCCAGGGCTATCACACCATCCACCCTGAGAAAGCGAAAAATTGGATAGTTTGAAGCAACGAATAATACAGTCAGACTTCTCGATGGCAGTCAGGAATGTAATAAAATTTCACTATAACAACCAGATTTTGGAACCAATGAATATATTCTCTATAACAATATTTCGCTATAGCAGCTAAAAAATATGTATCAGGTCAAACAGTACTGTTATAGAGAAACTACATACCTCAGCTTGCTTAATTGGATCAGCTTGGCTATCAACAAGAGACCCTTGTGTAGCATCAACGGATGTTTGATGGCATCGGGCTCTAACTCGAGACTGCAGCTTGACAAGAGTCTGCATACACTTGAGGGTTACATCAGCTTGCTTTCTCACCTGTCGCCCACGAAATATAGCTTGTAGCCTAACCACTGCTTTGAGTGCCCTTAACGCCCGCCTTGCCTTTTGACATAACAATAAAAATTTCTCATTAGCTATTTAAATCATTTGCAAAACATCAAGTGGGAGCGAAAATATTACAAGGACATATAACAAGGCAACATCTCTACATTTAGAGAAAGAACTATGCCTCAATCTCGAGTCAACACTAATATTGTCGCTCCATTTAAGCTCATCTCAGACAAGAGAAAAAAAAAGAAAAAGGATTTAAGGTGTTATAGGTCTAGTTTTTGTCACTCAACATACAATCAAGCAGTTACCTCCAAATTATACACTCATCTAGATCTGTTCCTCTTGAATTGCAATTATTCCTGATTCAATTTTCAACAAAATTTCTCCAAATGCAAGAAATTCAATTTCTTTCATAGTCACATCTAAGTATTACAAACAGAGCAACAACAAGAACATAATACCCGGTGAAATCCCACGAATGGAGCCTGGGGAAGGTAGAGTGTACTCAGACTTCACCCTTACCTCGTTGAGGTAGAGAGGCTTCAAGTACTTATGAAAAAAAAAACTAAAAGCAAGACAATGCTTAGCTATCTACTAATCTTCTACACGGATTAATAAGCTAAACCAAGTAAAACAAAAAAGTTAACAACTTTGGGTCCCAAATCATTCAAATTACCAGAAAACCACGAAACGCAGCCTGAATTCGAAGAGCAGCCCATTCTTGTTTCACAACCACAAAATCCTTGTGCGGAGCTCTGATCACAGTAGCCATAGCAGCAGCCAAAGCACTGTCAGACAGGAATGAAGATTCAGATTCATCCGAATCTCCTAAATTCCCACCCCCTTTTACACCTTTCGAAAACGCCATAGCAATTCCACCCGATGCACTCCTCCACAGCTTCCATTTTCTATTCTTTCCACTACCCTTCTCCTGCAAAATCCCCCAAATAAAACAATTCAAATTATCAAAAAACATCAACAAAAAATAAAACAGAAACAGAGTATACTAGAATTAGCCAATTCAACTTACAGAATCATTTGATTGATTCTTTTTTAAACCGATTAAAGATTTAATCCACTTCCCCGAACCACCCATTTTTAAGCGATTCTTGAAAAATATGGTCTTGATACAGTTTCTGCAGCTTGATAAATGGTTTTTGTTTTGAGGAAAAACAGAACAGACAGAACAATTTTAGAAAATGCTGTCTGAAAACTTAAAGGAACTTAAAGATAAATGTTGGGATTTGAGAATTCGAAGAGATTTGAGGAGCTTTAATTACTACAGCTATGAGTTTCTTTGATTTTGAATTTTAAAATTCGAAAAAAAGGAAAAAGCTGTAACGGATAGTTTTTGGAAAGAAGAACGACGTCGTTTTGGATGACTTTTGCACTTTCCGACCTTAGTTTAAACTGACGCAATACAATAAACTAGTGGGAAAGTGAAAGGAATTTCCGGAAAATAAGATTAGTTAAAACATGCTTTAAAGTTTTAATAAATTTGCGTGTAAAGTGCGAAGTAATAATCAAACAAAGTCCCCGCGCCTCACGACGTGGGTTCCGTGCGCCTTATTCCATGAACTATTGCTCCCTCCGTCTCGATTTGACGGAGTTTGACTAAACACAAAAAATTAAATTATATAAAAGACATAGCAATGACAAAGTATAACGACCAACAAGGGTTGTGGTGGAGTGGTAATTACTCCTTAATCCTTGATCAAAGAGGTTTCGGGTTAGAGCTCTCTTGGGTACAAAGTCACCTTTGTTAGAGAGCGTTTTACCTTCAATGTGGGACTTTCCGGTGCAAATTTGAATTTAGTCGAGCTCTAATGTGGATACCAAATACCGGATGGGAAACCAAAAAAAATGACAAAGTACGATGAAATTAAGCTTATTACCTTTCAAATGAGTTGATTTTTATTTTTTATATTTTGAAAATTGGACTTCTATCTGGCAGGACATAAGTTCTTTTAAGGGTTGAAGTCATGCGGACATAATTTGTGACATGATGATTAGAAAAAAAAAAATTGTTATTTGTAATGATGGACAAAAATTAAAGACCAGGACAAAGTGCAAAGGACCTTAAAACTACTTCCATGTTTCGATTGTAAAAATTTCATGGGTATCTTATTTGGATATCATTATCCTCTTTTTTTCAGGCATCTATCTATTTTGATATAATTATGGACTCTAATTTAAGATATTTGTCAGAAATTGCATATACATTTCATTGGTCGCCTGAAGCCCTGAGAGCTAGGATGCTTGCTCTTGAAGATGAAGTAAACACGGTCATGGGCCAATATCTCGATGTTGCTGAAGTTATGAATGAACACTTTATCCTAACTGGTTGGTAAAAATGACTAAGTTTAGATAAAATGGTTTAGTTTCAATCATATGTGCGTGGAATTAACCATATGAAATTCCAGACACACAGTAATTTCAAAATGGGTAAACTTCTGAAATCTAGTAATTGTGTACTTTGGTTGTTCATTTCCAAGCTTGCAAAAAGTTGTTCTCTTGTATTGTATTGTATTGTTTGGTTCGTGAGCAAAGTTAAATTCTTTGTGTTTTATTTTAGTATGAAAATGAGTTAAAATTTACCATTTTACTCTTAGTTATTTCACTTAAATATTGTCTAATCGACATTTTTTTTGGTTCTTTCTCATGTCGTTTTCTGAAATCAACTGATGTTCCTCCCTCTTTATATCTGGTCTTTTTCCTGGTAACATTTATTAGAGAATTTCAAATTTTAAGATTTTAATTTTTTTTGAATTTGAATCATTTTTTATTACTTGATTTGAATCTTGAATCCAAATTAAATTTCATGGACATATCCATACAAGCGTAAATTTAATGACAAAAGTCAAAACATGTTTCTATAAGAAATCAAATAAATATGTTTAAAATAAAATATATATTTCTCTCTTGAATATAAACTAAAGGTACTGAATAACAGGTGCACTAAAATCGTATTTATTTTTGTTATAATTTTTTTTATGAAGTAGACGATGATTAATAAAGAACACTTCTATTATAATTTCCCTATAATTTGTTTACATGAAAGTGCTTGCAAAAAACGTATAGGAAACTTTCTCCTCCTATGACTGGAGAAAAATGATTTATTCGAATTTTCTCTTTTATTTGGTGCAATCATCTTTTCATATTTTTGACTTGTTGGGTGCTATGTCATCATCTATCGCGAATTTCTGGATTAAGAACAAAATAAAAATAAAAATATAGTTAGTTAATTAATCCTTACCTTAATTATATTAATAATCCATATTTAGCAGATCAACTAATTTAAAATAGCATCAATTTATAAATATATTGACCTTAACACTGGTGAGGTCAACATGGTGGTCCTGAAGAAAGCTTATTATCTCCTCAAACTGTTCTTCTGTTGGTCTATAATGACCACTGTATGCCCATATTGCCTGTCAAAATTAATTACATGAGGAAAAAAAAATATTTTTCACCAAAAATATTTATCAAGATATATTTTTTTTTATCTATTTTTTAGTGCAGATTGGTAAGTACTATAAAAAGTATTATCACAAAAATATAATTTAGGTAAATATTATGGGGTGGGATCGGAGTAAGGGGTGTCGTGAGATGTGTTGGAGGGTGGGTATAAGAAAGATAATTTGTATACAAAGACATCGGTCAAAGGCGGAGCTAGAAGCTTGTAGGCTGTATACGTTTTCGTTCATGAATAGAGATCTCTTCATGAATATGTACAAATATTAAATTTAGAACATAATTATTAACACTTGAAGTGATTTGTTTTAAAATTCAAAACTCATAAAATACGTACCTCGAGGTCCCCATTAGAGACGACCAATCTTCCAGATGAAAGAGAAGCACCTCCAGCTAGAAAACTGGAATGGTGAAAATGATGTCTTTGCTTCTGACCAACATATAAGGTCCTTGAGGTACTGAGCACAAATATCCATTTGGTACCCTCAATTGTGTCCACACAAACACCATTTTTCTTGTAAATAAGCTTTCCATTCTTCACAATTACTTCATATGCTTCCCTCTCTTTCTGCATTAATTACAAAAAAAATATTTCATAGTAAATACTCCATCTCTACCAACAATCGTCTTCTATAACAACATTTCCCTATATATATATATATATATTCGGATTTTCTTTTCATGTTATGTCATTATATATGTTCATTATAATACTAACATTTAGTTATAATAGTAAAAAAAATAATCTGGATAAACGACGTTTTTAGAGGGATTTGATTGTAGGATACAAGAAATCGTTAGAAATATTGTTATAAAGGATGACTGTTGGACAAACATTAGAAATATAAACTATACTGATAATTATTATATCCTTATTTTTACTATAATCAGACTAAAATTGGCAATAAAATTCCTACTGGTCCAAGATACTTGATGCATTGGGACTGTAGATCACTCCTTGAACATTGCTCCACAATAACTTCTTTTCCATCACCAATATCTAACCTGTAATTTTTTATAGTGCACAAACAAAATTAATAATAAAAATAAGTAGCTAGCTAGTGATCACTATTATATAATTGAGCTTCTAAAAAGATCACCAATTTTTTTTTTTTGGTTGTAGCTACTAAAAAGCTAAGAAGTAGTCATGGATAAATTTTGTAGCTAAACAAAAATTTCATTGCTAATCCTAGTTAGAATAGATTAGCAACACTTGTTTTAAAGAAATGTTAGCTACGAACAATTTAGCAACAGATTATCAATGAGATTTATAATTAATTTTAGTTTTCTTGTAGTTCTAAATAGTACATACCAGTAGAAAAATGGTTGTGAACTTCCACTGTTGCACCACACATCATGATAACGATTTAGGTTGACACCATATCGATGGCGTGGGTCTATCTGAATTTGCATTAAAAAAAAAATGTTGTCAAAAAAATTACTAGCAATAAATTCGTAATATATATCGTGAAATTAGCTCAGAAAAATAACCATAATAAAAATTGCGATAAATTAGCTATGGAATAAAAAAGATGGAATTAATATGAAGTGCATAACAAATATTATCGCTAAATTAATTTTGTGCTTTATAAGAGAACATTTTTCACTTACAGCTTCTAACCAGCTCTTGATAGCTAGTTTTTGAGCCTTCTCATTCTTTGACGAGCCCTTTCCAATCTACACCAACAAATTATAAAAATATATATATATATAAATTAGTAAATCGAGAATCAAACAGTTCAAGTTTGATCGGTAATTTACGCATGGAATCTTCAAATTTTTTAAATTAAATTTTTTATATATATAAACTAGGCATAATACATATATTGGATCATAAACTTGGCTTCAAATTTTAATTTTGACCTCCAACTTTCATAGTGCACAAACAGGCACTTTAACTATCCAACCATTTAATAAATAAACACGCGAATCCTACTTGGCAAAATGCGTGATGTGCACGTATTCTGCGCGAGTTAGGAGTAATTTTCGAGTCCCACAACAGTAAAAAAATGCTGAAATGACAACTCTACCCCTCGGATTTTGGCCAATCTCCGGCAACCCAAAACTCCCGTTCATTTTCTTCTTTTTCAGGCAAAACGCCACCACCAAATGACCCCAAGCAAGTACCTCCAACCCAGCAGTTCTCCTTCTTCCTCCACACCGGAGCACAACCCATGAAGCGAAGGAGCTTCGAGCTCGCTAAACCCACCAAATACCCGACCCCAAACCCATCAGATCCGCCATCTCCGGCGAGAATCACCACGAAACAACACTGCTGCAACCAGCAGCTTGAATCAGACACAAAACAGCAACCAAATGACCCCCCAAACCCCATGAAAACGGACCCAACAACCACAAACACCGAAACCAAGAAGCCAGCCATCAACAAACCTCTAAGCTCCGTCAAACAATGCACTCCAAGCTCTAAAAACCATTAGGAGGAATTAATTTTGATTCTTGTATATAAATTAAAATTAATTTTGATTTTTTTAGTTCTAAAATGACGTGTGAAATATTTAATTAGTTGGCAGTCATTGAGTGGCTCACTAATACACGTTGGAGCGTTTGCATTTCACACTCTTTGGCTGCAAAAATTGCGTGTTTATTTATTTAAAAATTGAATAATTAAAGTGTTTGTTTGTGCACAATGAAAGTTGGAGGTCAAAGTTAAAATTTGAAGTCAAGTTTAGGGTTCAATATATGTATTATGCCTATAAACTATGTAAAAAGTGCTAACTGACAATTCAAAATATTTTTAAAATGTGTAAAAAATTATGATAAAAAATAAACTTGTTTGAATCTCGAAATCTGAAAAGTGTTACGGAGGGAGTAATTGTTATAGTGTACCTTTGAAGCCCGGATTTGAGCTCGCGCCCAGCGCGAAACTGTTGTCTCTGTCTTTCCAACGTCAAAGAAAGAAACAGAACTTTGTGTAAGAGTTGCAAAATTTAGTGCCTTCCATCTGTATAAATTATTATAATTATAAGAAATAAAATTCAAATTGTTTTGATGAAAATTATACAGAAAATAAAAATGATAGAGATTAATTTAAACTAACAAGAGTTCTTCAAGGATAACTGCAGAATCAGTCATTAGAAAATGCGTGATTAATGTAATTGATAAAGTTGATTTCTGATTTGCTTCGATTTTCCTTGTTTTTCACTTCGATATTCTTAATTAAACCTGATACGTGCTCGTAAAAAAAGTTATAATATAGATACATATAACATTTCAAAATTAGTTGAAGTCGAATATATATATAACACGAAGGAGTTAGAGATATAGAGCCTTGTTGATATATGGAAAATATTTAAAGTCATAAATTCTAGTTTATTAATTTATATGTGACCTTTGAATAATATTTTGACCTTTGAATAATATTTTGACTTTGATCTGAGATTCCATTTTTATTTTTCCTCCTTCCGTATAGGAAGGGGTGGAATTTGCGCTATTGTCTTTTTTTGTTTTTGTTTTTTGCAATTAAAATCCTTATTAAAGATTATGCATTTTTTAATAGATTTAATCTATTGTTTGATTTCTGGTCATTCAAATTTTGCAATTATTAATTTCTGCATAACACGATTAATGTTTTAATCTCAACACAAATGTACTTCTCTGCCTTTGTATCTTGTGAAAGGTTTATTTTCTTGCGATTCTTTCAATTATTAGAAACATAAGTGTTTTTCATCTTAAATTAGTGGAGAATTTTTGCTATTGAAGATGATTTTTTTCATTCATTTTCCACCAAATCAACTTACTAGAAAAATACATGATGTAAAATATATGTCCATTGAGATAGTGAGAAACTTTTTAATTTTTCAATATGAAAACATTACTATTTTTTTTTTACCATTTAATTTTAAATAACTTTGAGAATGGCCACCGAATATTTTTTAATAAAAAGTATAGTGGGAAAATAGAATTTATTTTTTAGTAGTGTTCACGAGGACCAAATCAAAGGGGGGAAATAAAGTAATTAACAAATATACAAAAATGATAACTACCGTGAAATGCTAGTTTATTGACTTTTACCATTTGTTTTCTGCAATTTGGTGTCTTATATTTAGCATCTGTTAGGCATTAGCTCAAATGTTCATTGCTATGCCTAATATCCTATATATGAAATCAATTATTGTACTCTAAGGCCTAAGCCCATTTAATTGTTCTTGTTTATCCCTAATTTTGTATTTTAGAATAATAATTGAATTTGTTTAAGTGGTTTAAGAACACACCGATTATAATAACCAAATAGTGAGTTCTTGATGCTAGATTTCTTCATAAATGTAATTGATATAATGGATGAAAAATTTAGACGATGAAGTAATTAATGTCAGAAAAAATAATACCATATCTTATTAGTTTTTTCGAGTTAATATTTCATATGGTCATTCAACTAATAGTTTTTTCACAGAAAGTTATTCAACATTCTTTTAAGGAAAAATTACATAAATACACAACTTATTTTATTATATTCTCTAAAATTCTCTACCATTTGAAAAAATTACTAAAATCCCTACGTACGTTATGTGATGTATCGGTCGGATACATTACTTTACGCAATGTATCTATCGGATACATCACTTTACGATGTATCGGGACGTATGTGATGTGTCGGGATGTTACTTTACGCGATGTATCAGTCAAATGCTATCACTTCACACAATGTATCGATTGGATATATCACTTTATGCGATGTATCGATCGGATACATCACTTTACACGATGTATTAGGACGTACGGGATGTATCGGCACACTGAGTGATGTATTCAAAACCGAGACGCAATGTATCAGGGGGTTAAGGGATGTATCCGAAACTAGGACGCGATGTATTAGGATGTTTTTGGGATGTACACCAAATTTAAGTGATTTTTGTAATTTTAAAAAGACTATGGATAAGATGTAATTAACTCTTAACACTATGAGATTTGTGTAAAATCTACTTCTTTTAATACTCAAAGTCACTCAACTAAAGATTATTCTCACATAAAGTCACCCAACTAAGAATTCTTCTCATAGAAAATCACTCAACTTTCTTTTATAACCTCAAAGTCACTCAACTGTGAATATTTTACCTACAAAGTCACTCAACTATTATATTTCGCTTAAAAAGTCACCCAATCACGAATAATTTTTTCATTAAATTTTGTTGAAACACAAATTTTATTTTAAATTATTTTTTAAAAAAATAAATAATAAGATGCTCATGTTTATTATTTTATTAAATTTTATTGATATTAATTAGATGACTAAATATTAGAAAAATTACAAATCAATTTAAAATAAATAATAAATATTAATACATTATAATCATTCTTAGAACCTTCTATTTAATTAAATCCCCTTCCATCTCGAAAATGGATTATAGTTTCCTAATATATAATCATTTAAGTAAACTCATTCATTGTACATAAAAAACTACTACTTAATATTTGAGAATTGGATCCTTTGAAAACTTATTGTCATTAGAGGTTTGGAATCAGCTTACAAAAGGCCTTTAAGATGAAAAACAAGTTTCATGTAAATGCTAATTTTCATTCATGTATATTTTCTATTGCTACTTTTCATTCAAAGGTAAATTTAAAATAGAATATGTATATTAAATTTTCTTATAATACATATAATATAGTATGAACAAGGGGTAAATGTAAATGACCAAGTAGAGTTGAGTAACTTTTGGCAATTAAAGGCATATTTTTATTTGTTATTTCGGATTTGGGTTTAATCTATTTTTAAGTTGATAGTAATAACTTTTTTGTAGGGAAATTCAACAAGGTAAGATATAAACATAGTAATGTGAATAAAAACAAATAAAATTTTAATGAGTGTAAATCTTGATTCACCCTGTTAAAAGTAAGCTAAAAGAAATGGCAAACCAAGCCACTCCAATAAAATAGGTGACCTAAAAAATTCTTTTAAAAAAGGTCCTAAAATATATGATAATTACTTACAATTGATAAGTGATATTTTCTTTTTTCAATTGACACCATAATATTTTTTGATTTTGTAATATTTTGAAATCACAAATATATATAAAAATTATTGTACATTACACAACACCACAAATGTTATCCCACAAATGTTTAGATCTTAGGTAAGATCTAATTAATTAAAGTATTTTTAAAAAAAAATCAATTAGGTCAATTGTTATATAACTATCAAAATTATTCTAGACGTAGTAGAAATATTTAAAAATAAAATTAAAACTTAATCTTATTGAATAACCAAATAGAGTATCATTTTTACTTGTATAATATTTCATATTACTTTTAATTATGAGAACATATCTAAATAATCGATATTGTAGTGATTATTGATCTTTGAAAGACGTTCAAAATTAAGAAGACACCTTTATAACTTTATAAATTTAATTATTTGATAATCTAATTAGTTTGAACTTGAAATGTCTAACAAGACATCTCAAAAAACTAAAGACAATCTTACAAAGCCAATGTTTAAACTTGATTGATTCAAATTGAAGTAATTAGAGAAATTTAGAAGTAGAAAATAACGATAAATTTACGACTTTTAATTATAACTGATTTAGTAAACACTTTGCATGTGTGTCTGGTATCAATCAATAAATTTATATAAGCGAAAAAGAAAAAGAAAGCTTCCATAATCTAAAATCTTAAATATTGTAAAATATATAAGTGTTAATTTACAATTTTAACTAGTGTGGAATATATATTCAAAGGGTTAAAAAGGCAACCAATCATTTTCTAAGGCCTTAGTGCATTTCTCACGTGTCCATCATTTTAATAAGAATATACTCTTAAAAATAGCATAAATAATATTTAAAAATATTGTTTATATACCAACATAATTATTTATTTTAAGAATAACATAAATAATATTTAAAAATAATGTTTATATACCAACATAAATTTCAAATTTATAAATAATAATTTAAAAGAGTTTGATCCAATTCTGTAATTCTTTCTTCAATTTCTAATATTTTTTTCATTGAACAAAAGAGTAATAGAAATAGCAGTTGATTGAAAGATACTTTAAATTTTTGATAATAACTTAAAAACTAGGTGCTTGTTGATATGAATAAAAGTATCCTCCTCTCAAACATGATTCAGATTTGCATTTGGGTTAGTCGATTTTCTCAGTTTTTTTTTAATTTTTTCCGGTGAAATCCTTATACCAATATATAAATAACTTGTGTTTGAAATATTTCTTTAGTTCTATCAACTATCAAATATAACTATCTAAGCTATATCTTAAGAAAATAACACAAAATACGAGAGAAATGATGGTATCAAAATATTCAATAAAAAATAATAATTAAATCGCATAAAATAAATATACAACAAATTTAATAAGTCACAAATGAAAATGATCATAATGTAAAAATACCTAATCATGAAAAAATAAAGCTAATAAATATTAATTAGATGACTAAATATTAAGAAAATAAAAATTAGATTATATATTTTAATTAGCTAAATCAATTTAAATCAAAGAATAAATATCTAATACATTATAGTCATTCTCATTCTCTGAACCTTCTATTTAATTAAGCTCCTTTCATCTCGGAAACGGATTATAATTTCACAATATATAATCGTTTAAGTAAGCCCGTTCCACCTAGGAAAGTATTTACTAATTACTATGATTACTATACTATATATTATACGTAAGGGTGGGGACATCACATTTCATAACACATAAAAAATTACTACTTATATTAATAAATACTAGGTCAACAAGTAATACTTGATAGGTCGTGTGAAAGTTGACATTGACGATCACCATGAAGAAAGAAGAATGAGAATTGAATCCTAAAGAACTCACAGTCAAAAAAACTTATTGGCTATGGAGGTTTTAGATTAGTTTACGTAGGTCTTTATAACGAAAAAAAATCGTAGGGAAATACTAACTTTTATGTGGAAGAATACAATTAAATTTCTCTATAACAATATCGTGAATATCATATGACTTTAGCATTATTACTTTTAGACATGTTTTATTAGGCAGATTTAAAGTGCTCCACTTTAGTAAAATTAAGACACTAAATATACTTTGGATTATATCTAAAGAACCAAAATAAACTTATGGCATAGGAGTATTTTATATATATATATATATTTGTTATCATCATTCGATCCTTTTTTGATGATTTTTCATTTGAATTCTATTTTTTGTGATAGGAGTGACTAGGGATGTACATGAATCATGTTGATTCAAAATTTTCAAATATCATATTAAATTATTTATGTCAGGATTTTAAATTTATAAATCAAATCAAATTTATAAAAGACGAAATTTTCAATCTCAAATTTATCGAATTTCTCTTCGGGGTTTTCAGATATAGTCTTTATCCCAACATAAAATTAACTTATACTTCAAAACTTAATACATTTATAATGTTGATTCCATTATGAAGTTTATGCGAATATAATTACGTGAAACTTGATCCTCCTATAAATTAAAAAATTTAACTTGTATCAAGAAATATCAATACTATATATATATAAAATTAAAATTTAATCGATATATAATTTTTGAACGAAGGAGTGTCGCTCGACTAGGTACGGTCGATCCACCCTTGACTTCCACGAGGTAGTGCCGTAGTGGGAAGGAGATGATCATGATAATAAGAACAACAAATTATTTTTTAAATCGTCAATCTTTGTGTGTATAATCTCTGTCAGTATCAAATTCCAATAAAAAACAATTGCGATTATTTACCAACTAACATGAAACTTAGTAACTCATTATGAAATATTGTAATTAATACAGTAGATTTAAAACATTTTTCTTTTTAAACAACTCTTAACTAATACGTATTGAACTATATATTTAAAACTTTGAATTAGGGGTGTTAAAAAAGAGATATAGGTAATTCATCCCATTCGCCTTTGAAACCAAAATAATTTAAATTGGGTTCAATCTTAACTCACTCAAGCCTTAATCCATTTTTAAAGAATCTTTAATTGAGCCGAATGTAATCACCAATTTCAACCCGTTATAAGACTCTTTATTTGTATTAGTGTAAATGTATGTTCTCATATTGAATGTATGAATCAAATTTTATTTCATATCTTCTAGGATTTATCTATCCATTTTAAACTTATTTTTGTTATTTTATTGAGTTGAAATTCAAATTTGGTTATAAAAGTTAAATAACAATACCTTAAAATTATTGAGATTAACCAGGTTTGCCTAGTGCGGGTTACCTCTCCTATGTGGTTTGCGAGCTATTGCATAGGAGCGGGGGTTTTACCCTGTGCGCACCCAAAGGGTAGCGGCTGCGGGTTTCCCTTGTCATCAAAAAAAATAAAAATATTGAGATTAAGCAAGTCAAATTGAGCGGATCATGACCCAACCTGACTTTTAGCCCATTTGAGCCCAAAGTAAATTTGGATGGGTCATGATCCAACTCAATTTTTATTTCAACCCATTTTAATATCTCTAATTTCAATCCAACCTGTTCATATACGATGAAATAATTAGTTTTTTTTTTGTCAAACTCACTAATTGAGCGTTCTATAAATATTTGGTGGGAAAGGGAAATAGAACAAAAAAGAGGAAGAATCTAGAAGCCTAGTATTAATAAAATTATTTGATTTCACTTTAACCGGCTATTTAACTAATTAAGCACATTCATATAGGAAACAGATTATAGTTTCCTAATATCTATCTTTCAAATAATAAACCAATTCCAAATAAAAAACAATTTCCTAATATCATTAAGCCTATTCCATATAGAAAACGAATTTACTAATTGCTATATATAATTATGGGTGGGAGACATCACAATTTCAACACATAAAAAAATTGTTAGCAAAATATTAGGTCTTTAAGTAATACTAGCTAGATTAATAAATATGAAGATCACCATGGAGAAAGAAGAATGGGAATTGAATCCTAAAAAACTCAGAGTCAAAAAACTCATTGGCTATGGAGGTTTTGGATTAGTTTACGCAGGTGTTTATGATGGAAAAAAAGTCGCTGGTGAGTACTAACTTTTTTCGATGGGTTCAATCTTTATGATTTTTAGTATTGTTATTATTCTAATTATGCGTTCATAGGTAGTATGCATTAATAAAAAAATTTGGTGACTTTTAATTAATACACATTCTTTCTATGAATTTCAGTTAAAATATTTGATTTGGGAGATGAAAAGAAGAATTCATCAGTAGAATTGATGGAAGAGGTATTCATGCAAGAAGTTTCTATTTGGAGCACTCTTGAACACTCCAATATTGCCAAGGTACATATCTACTTAATTATTTTCTCTTTTTCCTTATAATATTATTCGTTTATTTACAAAGTAACTTCCCATCTATTGAAGCATTTATTTGAAATACGCGTAATACATGAATATGCCTTTTAACTTGGTATCAACTAGCATCTACACCTTCTAATTTTGAGTGTGTCCACGTAGACACTTAAACTTGTATAAAATTAAACAAATAGACACATTCATCCTATGTAGCGTCCTACATGAAAGTTTTGTATCCTATGTGGTATCATACGTGTATTATGTATGCGATGTAGGACTTGTGTGTCTACATGTTTAATTTTAAACAAATTTAAGTTCCTACTTATGCACAATCAAAGTTGGAGGACCTACCATGCATGTTTGTTGAGGCCAAATTAAAGAAATATCCTCCTTTCTTTTCTCATTGAGCCTATAATAGAATATTAGCTGATGACAATTATATATATATATACTAATTTTGTGCAGTTTATTGGAGCTATAAAAAAGAATGATATGTCAAAAATAAAAATGAAATGTCAAAAAGGCTCAGTAAATGGATGTTGCATTGTTGTGGAATATGTTGGTGGAGGAACTCTTACATCCTATCTTTCAAAATACACAATGAAGAATAAGTTACCTTTGGATACTATTCTTCAACTTGCAATCGATGTTGCTAAAGGGTATGCATGCATCTTCATGTATTATCTAATTCATAAACATATTAAACCATATGTTAAATTTTTTTATCTAATAATACGTATAAATTGCAGATTAAGTTACCTTCATTCAGAAAAGATTGCTCATAGAGATGTGAAGACTGAAAATTTACTTCTTGACAAAACTGGAAGAGTGAAGATAATTGATTTTGGAATATCAAGTCATTTTTTTTCTCTTGGCTTGAATTATCCCCCTATGATGGTTGGAACAACTGGAACTATCGGTTACATGGCTCCTGAGGTACGTTACATCATTTTTCAACTATCGGCCCACATCTAAACTCGACGTGAATTGTTAATTAGTTTCATCTCCGAACTATTAATAGTGTTAAAAACACCACTTTACTTGACAAACTAAATTTAAATACACCCCGATCTTGCAACATGAATGAAATACACCCCTAAATTCTCGCCAAGTTTAGAAGTGTTTCCAACACTTCTCTCGACTTTTTATTAAGAGTTCCATGCTCCTACAAGAACTTCAACACTTACTTTGTAAATTGAAGTACTAAATTATCTTTTCTCTTTCTTTTTGTATTTCACCAGGTTTTGAGCGAAGTGTCGTATGATCACAAGTGTGATGTCTATAGCTTTGGAATTTGCTTGTGGGAAATGTACACTTGTTTAGATCCATATCCTGAACACATTTCTCGTAGTAAAATCTCAAATCAAATTTATATGGTACTTACCCTTTTTTCATCGATTCATCAGTTAGTTAAAAACTCAACATGTTATATATATGTACGTACTTAAATGTGAGTAATTTGGCGTACTAACGAGTTGTTTTGGAAATTTCAGGATCGAAGGCCTGAGATACCAAAATGTTGTCCAACAGCATTATCAGATATAATGCAAAAATGTTGGGATGCAAAGCCACAAAACAGGCCAGAGATGAAGGAAGTGTTGCAAATGTTACAAGACATTCAGACAAGTACAGGAAAACGAAAGCACATGTTTTGCTTTGCCTAGAAAAACATATTACCAGAGGAGTTCATAAGAAGGAGCAGATTATACTTGCATATAAAAGAGACAACTAATGAAGGCGATGTGAAGTATTATTAATTGTGAAAAGCACCATCACCTTGTTTGGATGTTGCTACCCGTTGTATTATATTATATTGTTAGAGTCTGTTTGACATTGTTGTTGTAACGTCAAAAACACTTATTTTGAATGAAAAACATTTATTTTGAAAAAAACGTGTTTGGGTAATCACTAAAAATGCTTTTAAATAGAAGTAGAAGCCAATTTTTTGCTGTCGGAGAGAAGTAGAAGCAAAAAGTTATTTATTTCTAGCAGAAAAATATTATATTTGGGTAAATGAAGTATATTTAGTTGATAGGAAAGTTCTTGGCTTGTTAGAAGAAAAGGAAGGACTTTTTGGTGCCCTCTAATCCCAATATATCAAACTGATCAAAATCTTGAACACACAGAAAGCATGGTCATTCAATGACAGAGACCACAGTGTATCATCAAATCATTCACTGATTGAACATCAATGAAAATAAATAATACTAAAAACACAGTACCACAATGAACCCAGAACTTTGAAATGTACATGATATTGTTTAACCAACCTTGGCTTTACTATTATCTTCAATCTTTTAACGAACTCAATACTAAAATCTGTGTGGAGCTACAACTTTACTTATGGGTTCAGTAGAATCAAGTAGGTTTGCTTAAATCCCGTATTTATGTTATAAGTTCACTTAATAAATAAATACAACAACATATTTAGTATAATTCCACAAGTAAGGTCTAGGGTAGGTAGGATATAATACGACGCAAGGTTGCAAGGAAATAAGACGGCAAAATAAAAAAAGCAGCAGATAGTAACAAATAATTTATCAAAAACTTAATGAACAGTATTTTCTATAATCTCAAAACCATATGCTATATACTACATTGCTAACACCTGACTTTGTCTGCACATGCTACTTCACTGCCACTCATCAGCTAGTACTAAAGCAAAAGAAAATGAAAAACAGTGCATTGAATGGTACTTATCAGCTTTCCTTTTATATGTGCTTGCTTCCCAGGTTTGGTTTCACAGTTCTTACCTAAAATGTTAAAAGAACCAAAATAAAAAGTTTGTTTAATTATTGGCTCCTCATTCTTTCTTCCCTATTTATTGCAACTCATTATTCAATGGTGATGCTGCAATCAGCTGCACTTACTTCACTTAGTTCAACTTTAGCCTAATGCTAAAAAGTCAATGAAAGGCTTCATTTCTTTGGATAGATAAATTCAGAAACCCTTTCAGGATCCAATAGAAAACCAAGCTCTTCTTTTTGGATAATAAGAAAAACTATTTTGGTCACAGTGCTCCCTAGCAGGCGCGGAGCTAGAGTTTCAATAACGGAGTTCAAATTAAATAGGAAAAGTAAGCACACAAAAAGATCAAAATGGTTTAAGTTTTATCCTACTTGGCTGCGCCCCTAACCTTCCCTATCCATGAAAGTAGTTAACTACTCATACATTTTATTATGTACTATATATATAAGTTTTGTTCACTAACATAAATTAAGATTTTTTTTGGGTACTGAATCTCTCAGACATTGATTCTGTGTACTTATTTCTTGAATTTAAAAACTCAAAAGAATTTAAAGAAAGATTTTCCTACTTGTCCAGTTCCAGAATATGACCAAAAGGGGGAATAGGTGGCTCTGCAGTCTAGGCACCCACAATTTTTCCCTGTTAATTAACGTGCAATTTCTATAGGCTGCTGTATTCAGGTGTTGCTCAGAACCTAAAAAGGGTACTTCCAGTTTCATTTCAAGATTTGAAGCAACGTGTACATATAGAGAACAAGAAAGAAAGAAAATAGATACTTTGAGTTGTCAAAACAAGACTAGTACAACTAAGAAAAATAAAATTGAAAGAAAAAGTTGTAAAGGTGTAGGCTTTTAGCCAGAAAGATGCAGGATAAGAGTAGTATCACTTGTTTGAGAAGTAAAGATTTCGTTTTTACCAATACAACTTACCGAGTGAGAGAGGCTTAGAGAAATCCAAGGAGCTTTGAAGGGATTGCTTTTTGGGAAATGGGAGCTTGACAATTTTGAGCCTCCTCTTTTTCCTTTGCTTCCTTTATAAAGCTATCATGATATGGACACCCTTTGAAGTGAACCAAATGATCAATCTCCAATTATTCTAAATCCCCTGTTATTTTTGTCTCTTTCTCTTTCAAATTTTCATTGCCTCATTTATTCAAACAGTTGGTGTGCAAGTAGAAAATGAAGTGTAAATTCTGCTATTTCGTCCTAATCATAATTGCACTCTCCTTATCCTGTGTTAATTGCAGGCCATTGACATCAAATCAACAATTTGTACACAACAAATTGAGTACAAATAAGGTAATTCTCGACATCCTTTGCCTTTTGATTTCTGTTTTTTCGCGATTTAGCGTATTCAAATGGAGTACTAAACAAGTTCTTTTTTTCAATCTAAGGGAAATATGAGCATAGAAGGAGAAAGACAAGTGAAGGAAGTAGAAGAAAATAGCAATGTGAGTAACGAAGAGATGAAATTGATAGGATCAAGTCCTCCAAGCTGTGAGCACAAATGCTATGGATGTATGCCTTGTGAAGCCATACAAGTACCGACCAACACAGGTCGAGTGGGAGTTCAGTACACTAATTATGAGCCTGAAGGATGGAAATGCAAGTGTGGCCCTGCATTCTACACTCCTTAGTCGGACTAATCTGTTCACGCGTTGTAAAACATCCCCGCGATGGGAAGGTTCTCGAATTCTAGCTTATACCTTATAGTCGTGTTAATAGGTAAAACAAAAGAGGTATTTATCGTTTGGATTTAGTCTTAGGCCAAATTGGATTACTTTGATGTTGTATGAGTTCTTATGAGAGTATGTATAGCGGCATCAAGAGAATTTTGTTGTTAGTGAAAGTTGGGTAGAAAACAAAAGATTTGTTTAGTTTTCATGGATGGTTTAATCTTCTAATTCTTGGTATAAATTTACTATCATTACTTGACATTGTTTTGGCTCTCCGTTTTTTAGAAAAAGATTATGTTTGAGATAAAATACTTTCTAAAAAAAATGACTTCATATTGAAAATAATTATCACTTTATTATGATCATGTTTTCACAGTTGGCTTAATGGTTCTAGGTGGCCAATATGCTGTAATTCGAATCACTATTAACTTCCAGACTATGAATTAGCAGCACTTTTCTTTGTTTAGTAAATCAAAATATTATAAAAGGAAAAAAATGCATACGGCAGCAAAAACGTTTTTTAGTTAAGTTATTTTTTTTTCAAATATTTAATTTGTAGCCAATATTGACAAAGTTTAGCTCCTTCTCCATAAGTAACTTCAAGCAAAACAAATCAAACATAATTTAAGCGCAACTTCAACAAGCAAAAGGCCAAAATGAAACAAGCCTTTGATTTAGATACTTTTCTTTTTGTGACATCAGTTGAGAAGGAAATCATCATTCTTTACTTTTGCACTATGATCATGCTTACCTAAATTTTTAATTCTGATTGATTGTCTAAATTTTTAATAACTAATATGATCGTGTTGTTTGATATTTAGTCTAGAAAGAGAGAATAGTTAGGATTGTCTAAATTTTTAATAACTAATATGATCGCGTTGTTTGATATTTAGTCTAGAAAGAAAGAACAGTTAGGAGAGTTTACTGAACTTCGTGCATATATATTTTTAATTTTATTTTTTTATCAATAATCTTACAACCTCAAACAAAAATGACAAAAGTTTCAAAGTTTCTTTGCATACATAGAGAAAAGACATAAAGTCACCATTGAAGTTGTCCTGAATTTTCAAAAAGACACATTAACTTTACAATCGTCCTATTACCCCACTAAACAATTATGAACTGATATTATTATATCATTTTTCAACCATCTCGGATTTTAAGAAGCAAGTGTGTTCACACGTCAATCATTACATGACACGTGTTAATTCAATTAAAAATATAAAAAAAAAAATTAAGTTTTTTCTTTATCTCTCTCTTAATTTTTTACTTATTCTCTTAATTGTTGACTTATTTTAATTTTATTTTCTTTCTTTTTCTTCACCTCCCACCCTCACCCCACCCCCCCACGTCAAGTTGAACCGCTCTCCCTTTTATTTCTTTTCTTTTTCTTCTTCTTCTCCAATCAAATTCTTTATTTCAATGATTTTTTATTTTAAAAAAAATCATACTATTTTATAGACTTTATTGAATTATTGATAACAAAATTAATTATTTTTCTAAGAAAATTTAAAATTTTGATGGTATTATCAATTACTCCTTTTCATATAACTTCAAAATTAGAAATAATAATTTTAAAAAGAATCAATAAATTCCCCAAAAATTGAAAGAACTTGATTGAAATTGGATAAAAAAAAATTATATGATACCTCCTAATGATCTTGAAATCTAATGGGTTTATCAAATTGTTCAAAATGTAAGAAAATATTTAGATAAAGTTTTAAAATTAAAGAGAGTAAAACTAATAGTAGTAAAAAAAAGGAAGGTGAAATTATGGTAAAAATGGTGACATTGAAAGTGAGAAACTTCAATGGAGATGACAATGAATTTTTGAAGAAGAAAGAAAGAGAAAAAATAATAAGGAAAAAAAGTTCGTAAAATAATAAGAAAATATATTTATAATAAAATTAGTTATTTTAGGTTGTTCACCCTCTTTTGAGAGAGTGCACACACTCTCTATGTAAGGTGGACGTAAAATGATATATCAGTTCAAGATTGTTTAGTGGGATAGTAGGACGCCCGCATAGTTTAGGTGTCTTTTTGAAAATTCGGGACAAGTTCAGCTGTCACTTTATGTATTTTCTGTACATATTATCTAAAATTAGACTTTAACAGGATACATATGTCTCGCGAGTCTGAAGCTATTTAAATTGGCTAAACTTGTAAGCATGTATAAAGTGGCTATTTGTGAACTTTCCCCCATGCTACAAGGATGGGAGTCATATGGGCTGGGCTTTGTTGAACTCTCAAAAAGTCCATTT